CTAGTTTTAATCAAGAAGGGACTTGTATCGCTGAAGTCACTTGGAAAGAATTTTTACCGGAAATTATCAAACAAGCAGATAAGCAACACCACCATATGTTCTTAAAGTACCACTAACATTCATAAACTATTTCTCAGCATTCTTTTTGGATCGATCATCAACTACTGAAGAGTCTTTTTTTACTACGGAAAACCAACTACTGCTTATTATTTAATTTGAATATTTTGCTGAAAATCAGTAATATTCTTCATTACTGTTAGATACACAAATATTAGTCCAGACTTGGTAGGCCCAAACATATAGGCGTTAAGAGAGACAGAATAACACAGCTATAGCGATATTTCCAGAGTATGTTTATTACGATGTCTATAACAAAAAACTGATTTTAATGGAAATATTCAACCGGAAGGTATATTTTGTTAGAAAAATACTTTATCATTTACCTAACTAGAAGTTATAGTAATTCATCTAGCATTTAATTTAAATAGTAAAGTGGTTATTATAATTAATAACTGATCTAAGATTACATATACTTTTGTGTGGATCATTTATTACTTAACGTAGTGAAGTTAAATATTTCAAATTGATGCCAATATATATGGTGAGTCATAAGTAATGCTTATTCTGAAATTTAATTAGAAGTTGCCTGGTTTACGTTTATAACGATTGTGCAATTTTCTGCTCAAGAAAATTTGAATAAATATTATTTGGAATGTTTAACCTACAAAGAGTTTAACGAAATGTAAGGAAAACAAGGAAACAGGAAATAAAAGCTGAATTGAAGTGCACGAGTGTTTGAGACTATCTATCTATAATATGTGCACGGTTTCTAAGAAAAGGTACATGCATTTTATCTCTCAAATCTTGTTACTATGAATTTAAGCGGAGATTGATATAAAAGAAATATTTTTCCAGTATCAAATGCTAAAAAGGTGAGTGGAAATTTTTTCTAGGTGTAAAAACATGTTTTGGACGATACCTCAAAGGAAATAATATAAAATCTATGTGACCTCAGAAGTCTTATCTTGATTTATTATACATTCAATTACAAAATATGAAAAGAAGTATTGGCCATATGGTGTACTATGACAGTTACTGTGTACCTAAACGTACCGAATACGACACAGGCCTGGGAAATATTTCGATGAATTCAGAATTCTTTTAGATAAATATGATAACATTTTGTAACTTACGAAAAACAGAATATTTCAAACAGAACAGTTCTCCAAGTGGCTCAGCGGTAATCTCGAGAAGCTATAACGCTCAAATTCGGGGTTCTATATACGCTGGAATGACAGATTATTGTGCAACTTTGGAACTGAAAGAAACAAAAGCATTAGAATTCAGTGTCCGATTCCAGATGCGGATACATCACAATTCATTGACTAACTTTACGTTTTAAGAAAAAAACAACAGTCAAATAGTACTAGATGGATTAACGACTTAAGTACAAAGTTCTCACAGCTATTCCATAAGTCTTATTCGTGATTTAATGTGATGGGTACAATCTCAAACCATCTATCATTTCTAACTTATAAAAATAACATGCTTTTTCCTGAGCACCTAATATCCATTATCTAAAATATTTACTTAATTTTACTGAACATTTTTAGCTATGTTCCATGAGTACTTAGTTAATTTTACAAAATTATTTTGAGCAAGGTGTTTGATAATATTCTTGTTATGCAATTGATGCTTCCGTTTAAAATATCAGACAGACTGGTCATTAGCCAATGAAACTCTCTAATTCCTTCTTGGTGAAAGATATGAGTTTTCAAAATTATTTACGAATGAAATGAACAAATTCTTATAAACAGTATTTTCGAAATAATTAGGCCCGTTTTGGTAGATTGAGAAAAACTAGTTGGTGTATAAGTTTGATGTAAGTTTTAGATTCCATTGTATGATCTCATGTATTGTGAAAACGGTAGAAGTAAACTTACCCATGTTTCGTGATCATCAAGTATATCTTTATGGTTATTTTCCAAAATGTGCACAATTAAAGACAATGATCTCACACATGAATGAATTCAGAAGTACGAAGTTTTCCAAATAGTACAAACTGCTGAGTACACCACAGCATTGCAGGAAGAATTGTGACATCAGCTTGAACAGTTCCTCAACTCATTCTTGTAAGATACTATACTCAATACACCACAGCATTGCAGGAAGAATTGTGACATCAGCTTGAACAGTTCCTCAACTCGTTCTTGTAAGATACTTCCAAAGGCCATTGTGGGAGCTGCTGTTCATAGTAGTTTTGAATGTATTATTATTATTGGCCTGAGTTTATATACTAAACACTACTGTGTAAAAGTATAGGCGTTTATTGACCTTCAGAGCTTGGTACAGACATATATAATTATATAAAGTTACTTTATAGTACGGAAAAAAAACAAAAAAAACAACAAACAAACCCTAGTTCATGATATGCTGCCATCTAGCGACGTAAAATATAAAATGTATTTAAAAAACTAAATGAAACGTGAAGAAGATGGAAAATGATGAAATCAACAGATGAGACAAAGAGAATGAAAAGTAGAGATGCTCAGGAAAAAGAGAATCAATTAAGTATATAACGACAAGAATTAAAATAGAGGTGCATATAAAGAGAAAAATATGATAGAAAATATAATTTAAAATGTTACTACTTATCACAATAACTTTCATTTTTTATTTAATAATCTGAATTATATTGATACAAGTTATACTGGACAAATATTTTACATATGCAGAACATTTAGGTCTATATGTTTAACAAACTGGGATGAATAAAGTGTAGTGTTTACAAATAATCATTTTCACATAGCTCAGTAAACAGAAACTGCCTTAGAATCAAAACACTAGATGGAGCCAAATTGACTTTCTTTAAATAAAATAAAAATATCTGTGTGTAAAACAATAAGTAAATGATATTGTGTTATTAATACTTACCATAATTCTGATTAGTAAATATCTTAAAATACAATTGATAATACTTGCTATTCACTTAATTCATTCGGTTAATACAATAACAGTTGTTGATCACGAAATTGATGGTATGAGTAGCTCTCAGACCATTACTATGTCTGTCATTTCCCAGCTGGCCTGATATTGGGCGAAAGGTCTCATCGGACTGGATGTGGAAGATGTAGTGTGGTTGCCATATTATTACATATTTTTCTTTATTTTTACTCATAAGTTTTTGGAATTATACATAAGGAGGGTATACCATTCCATGTATACTTGCTATAGCGATCACACACTCATCTATGTATATGTATATACAGTCTTGGCCAACATCTTTGCATACTGTTCTATATTGATGTTATTTTCTACATGCATGGAGAAGCTACTGAGTAAATGCCCGAGTAGTAACAAAGAAGGTAGCGTATGATCAAACAAGCATGTATCTGGTGTGTATACGTTGTTTGGAGCATTTGTTCGTCAAAACTCACATACATACACATTTTGTACAAAAGGGTGTGCTTTTGGTATAATTCTTTTTCGAAACAGATCGACGCTTTGTTCAGTCAAATTCTCTGTACTTGATGTAGAGCAGTGGTCGGCAACCTATGATCCGCGGGTCACTAATTGACCCGCGACAATAATTTGGTTGACCCGCCAAAAGTTAGCTTCACCATTGCAACCCGTGAGGGCACAATCATTGTTCAGTTCAAGTTTCTCGGCTGTGTGAGAAGAACAACGATATTAAAGGAAAGAGTCACGGCTACGGAGAATTTTAAAATCAATTTCAGGGAAAAATATCAAACTGGTCGAACTATTAATTTTTTTGTATGTAAATAAACATACACATTTAAAATACATGTACCGGTATTAATAATTATATGATTATCACTGACCCAACACAATGCTAAATTTTTCAACAAAAAAAAATAATTGACCCGCGATCAAAAAAGGTTGCCGACCACAGGTGTAGAGTCATGCCTTGTCATGTGCCAGAAGCTATAGGGCGTCAAATTGTTCGACTGTCCAGAAATGCTATGAAGCAAACCGACACTGCTAGAACAGGAAGGTACCCCCAGTGTCCTGTATGTGGAATCTAAAAAGAGAAAGCTGTGTTTCGATCAGGTTAACACGTCAAGGTCGAAAGAAGTCTTGCAACATCTTATGAAAGGAATGGCATGAACATATTCATTCCAGGGTATCTAGAAGAACAATGAATAGGAACTCACAAAACCAGATGAGTCCTGTTTCCGGCTTCTTAAAGCTGATGGTAGGATTCGTGTTCGTCGTTTGCCTGGAAAACAGATGAGGTAAGACTGCTTTTCTCACAGGGAACACAAGGGAGGTGGTGCAGTACATGTTTGGGCAGCTATTCATCATGGTGGAAAACTGTTCTTCATATCCTCCAGAGATACGTCAATGGCACCTCCTACAGGCATCATATGTAGACAATATTTCTACCTTTTCTAGGGCAAGGTTTGGCAATAACTTTGTGTTCCAGGATGAGTTATCTCGACCAGGGGAACGTTACAAGATTGCCATGGCCAGCAAAATCTCAAGATTGTAATCCCATTGAGAACTGTTGGGCAGAATGGAGCCGGAAAATTGCTAACCACAACCCTAAACCAACTACTGTAGCTGAGTTGCCGCGCTGTCTTGTTACAAGTTGACATAAAATGACGATGAATTAAATCAATAAGCTCATCAACAGCATGCCACGTTGCCTTGTAGAGGTTATTGGAGTATGAGGAGGACCAACCAAGTATTGAATGTTTAATATGAAGTGATAAGGTTACAGACGCTATATATAATAATTTGTTATATTTTTTCATTATATACTTTTTGGTAAGGTTTTGTTGTAATAGGTGAAATGCTGAATAACGTATCTTTCTACAGATGTCTGATAAAATTATTTGCTGTTCTAATAAATCATTAATGATGTCCATAGAATCTGTCTCATTATACAAATAACATATGTGGTTGTTTAATATAACATGCATTTCTCAGTTTCACAGCGCTAAGTGTATTTGTATTTCATCTTAATAATAATGATCTTATTTATTACAAAACATGCAAATATTTTGGCCAAGACTAAAGTTATATAAAGTTCTGCCTTATCGATTTTACAAGATAATTAGAACACTACACTTCTGTTGTTTTTCAAGTAATTTCTGTTTGTTTGTATGCTTTAGATTATATCTTTCTTTTTTCTATTGTTGCTTGAGGGGCAACAAGTCGAAAGTATCAGCTCTTCTATTTTGACTGCTGATTCGGTGTATGACAAGATTTTACGTTTGGCTTTCTTTATAAGTGCTAATGCAGCATTTTGCGCCTATCTTGTCTTATTACTTTTTTGTTAAGAACTTCCGCTTCAAGAGTTATCCCAACTACTTAACGTTTGTTTGTTGTGTAGCGAAATCCGATGTTTAACGTTATAAAAATTAACACTGAGTCAGTAGAAGGCACAACTTAATGTAAATATTGTAATAAAAGCAAGAGCAAGTGAGTTTGCTAGTTTGTTTTATTTGGGTGGGTAAATAGACCACGTTATGAGGGCCAAAACCTAATTCTGTTCAGTAGTGGTTAGGGTGCTTGACTCGTAATCTGCGGGTCATGAGTTCCAATACCGTCGCCGATTATGCTCGCCCTTTCAGCCGTGGCGGCGTTATAAAGTGACGGTCAATCCCACTTTTCGTTAGTTAAAGAGTAACCCAAGAGTTGGTGGTAGATGGTATTGGCTAGCTGCCTTCCCTTTAATCTATCACTTCTAAATTAGTGACGGATAGCTCAGATGGCCCTCTGAAATTCCAAAAACGAACGAACAAACTGTTCAATCATAACGAGTACCAACATCCTGGTTCTCATTTCTTCATTGTAAAATATCATTTTAAGACTGCTTTGTAAAACTGTATTATGAAAGGTAAATTCACGAGCAGATCTCATTTTGTGACATAAAATGAACTCTTTTTAATGTGAGGTACCTTACGCATGTTTGTGTCTCTTCGTGATTAATCTGGCCACATGAAAACTTTTACAGTTACAAATAAAGTAATCATGACATCATTTACTTCCATAGTTCACGGTATTAGTAGTTTTAAATTTATGGTTTCGTTATCTGTGCTGCTAGAATAGTACTGAAGTTATCCAACAGGATCATTTTTTGTCGAGTTTCTGACACACACACAAAGTATGCTGTTTCTGACACTTATCAAAGAAAACTGGAACGGTTGATTTCTTTAATATCACATACGAGAAGAAACAAATAAAGGATTTCGTCTTCCTTACATATAACAATAAACACTGTCACCTTCTTTCGTGTCTTTCTTTCTTTGTACTTATATCAGGAAAACATTCTAAACCTCCACTCGTTAATCGCTATACGACTGTTCACGTCTTAAAGTGGAACAGTTAGGTAAACTACTTGAGTTGCTTTTGATAAAAAAATCAGGTTACTGTTCACGAGCCTCGATTTTTCCATATTTATTTTGGGTTCAGCGATAAGCTTGAGGGCTTATAACGCTAATGTCGGAGTTTGATCCTCGCAGCTGGCACAACCCAGTGTGATATATGTATATCTTTGTTTAAAAATATATATTTAAGGAAAAAACTACATATTTCTTAATGTTGAGAAAAATCCATGCAAGAGAGAGAGAGAATAAGGTAAACTTGGTCAAGGAAGTCAGAATTACAACATAATAATTACATGAAAGTATTATATAAATTAAATTTAAATAAATAAGGACATTTGTAAATTATAAATCAAACCAATAACAGTTACATTTATTGTAAGTGTTTATATAAGCATTGTGATCCATTTAACGGTGGAAATGTGCCCAAAATCTTTGTTTTTGAACTTGCTCCGTTTTCATGTTTGTAAGGCTTGCTTATGAAAGTGCTCTGATTAATTAACGAAGTGCTACCATTAAACGCGGAACATTTTACTGGCTCTAAAGCCTGATAATATCATTGTTAGACAATGAATATTAAGAACCTAAAGAATTGCCCTTGCCAACTTTTTATAAGTACTCACGTTTCTGAGAGTACTTCTATACGAAGCAGTATCGTGGATTTATTTTCCAACTT